GAACACACCGGCATAGGTGGCATGTGACCCTAGTATAAGGGATCGAGTTGCAACCAAAACAAGAAGCCCCATACGCTTCAAATAAGCAAGAAGCTACATTAGCAGAAGGTGTTAATCACCCGTAGTTGAGGAGAGCAAAGTGAGACTTGACATTGCCAGGAGAGGATACGAACGAAGTGAAGCGAAGTGAAGACCTTCTAATTCTTACCACACCTTTTGTTTTCACTAACGAAACACCAAGCAAACATTAGAGCTCCAACTAACATTTTTCGTTCCTTTTTTGAGGATTTGTGTGTGTCAGTTGCACATTTTGAAATAAATTTCGGGAGATGTTTTGTGATTTTTGAGCATCTCCAAAAGTAAAAAAAATTGAGTAAGATTCAGAGAAAATGGCTCATGTGAATAATTTTTGAAATTATAAAAATTTTTAAAGTTTGACAAATTTTGAGAATTGAAGTAATATTCAAAATTTGGATCTCTATGGTACTTGTTGAAAATTATGAAAAAATGAAAGAGATGACGAAATTAATAAGGTACGATTAAGAAAATAGTGAAAAGAGAGAAATTATAATTGTGTTCTAAAACCTATCAAATGTAGTCTCTATTTATAGAGAATGAAAAAATACGAATTTCGATATTTTTTATTTTTTTAATTTAAATAGTTTATCTTTTACCTCATCTAAAAATTAATTTTGGCCAATAGGAATGGGACAAGTGTCCCATTCCTTTTCTTCTCACCTGGTTGCGACCAACATGTGAACTGGGTCGCGAAAAAATAAGCATTTTTATTTTTTTATTTTTATTTTTATTTTTTTGTCCTATCCAGCAGACCCATAAGAAAAGTCACGAATGAAGACGGTCTAACAACTAATCATACCACTTATTTTTTTTTTTCAAAATTCACCATACTTAACAAAGAAAAATTCAACAAAATCAAAACATCGTATATCCAAGTATCGTGAAAATAGGTATCTACAAGAACAATCCCAACCAAAGAATGTTTGTTGCATTTTATTATAAAAATTGAGACAATTTTCATTATATATGTACTGATATTTTGATCATGACAAAAGAATATTTACTGCATTCTATTATAAAAATTGAGAAAATTTTTATTATCTATGTATTTATATCTCCATCCTTATTTATTTGTGTGAGATGAATGAACTATGTGATCCGAGAATAACACATAATATTTGTTTTTAGACATATTTTCAAGAAAATCATAGAACATTGGGTCTACATGTTAGTTTTGTTGACAATTAAATATTTTATATAAATAAACTTTATTTGCTTTTAGAGGTTAATTTTTATGTGGTTTGGATTATTTCAAAATGATAAACAAACTCCTCCCTTTTTTTTTTTGAATTATATTTTTTTATTTGGATAATATAATATAGTGCAATCTCACTTTTAATGGTATATATATTAATATAACTTAACATTAGTTTATAAATTAGTTTTAGTATTGATTCATCATGAGTCGCACGAGATATGTACTAGGTTTTTAGTAGAGGAAATAGCTATTTTCATCTGCACTGTAAACATAATAAGTTTTACATACCGATAAATAATAAGTTAACTTTGCCCAAATTATATGATAAGATATACGACAAGCAGACGATGATAAATGATAAAGTGCGAAACAATTATGAGATGCGCTATGCAAATTAGAGACAAAGATAATTGATAAAGTGTAAAATTGTCATGCGATCAACTATGCGACAATCAGGCGAACGTAGTTTATAAAGTGCGAAAAAATTATGCGATAAACTAGGCTAATTGATAAAGTGCGAAATAATTTTGCGATAACTATGCGGCATACTGAAGATAATTGATAAAGTGCGAAACAGTTATGCGGTTAAGTATGCAACAGACAAACAGATATAATTGATAAAGTGTGAAACAATTATGCGACAAACAGCCCAAGATAATTGATAAAGTGCAAAATAGATATGCGGTTAAGTATGCGACAGACATGTGAATATAATTGATAAAGTGTGAAATAATTATGCAATAATCTATGCGACAGACAGGCGATGATAATTGGTGCAAAAAGCTATGCGACAAACATAAGATAATTAATAAAGTGTGAAATAATTATATGATAAATTATGCAACAAACAAGATAACATAATTGATAAAGTGCGAAACAACTATATGATAAAATAAGCGAAAGACAGGTGAAGATAATTGATGCGAAAAACTATGCGACAGACAAACGAAGATAATTAATACAATGCGAAAACATAGAAAAGATCTGCGACAGACAGACAAAGATAATTAATAAAATATGAAATATTTATGCGAGATGATATGCGGCAGACATACGAAGATAATTGATAAAGTGTGAAGTAGTTAATCAATACATTATGCGACAAACAGACTAAGATAATTGATATAAAAAGCTATGCGACAGATAGACGAAGATAATTATTAAAGTGCGAAATAGTTATGCGATAACCTATACGATAGACAAGCGATGATAATTGGTAAATTTGGATAATATTATGCGATAACTATACGACAGAAATACAAAAATAATTGATAAAGTGCGAAACTATGATGCGATAAACTAGACGACAAAAAGGACAGAAAGGCGAAGATAACTTGTATAGTGCAAAAATATCTATACGATATGATATGCGACGCACAAGCGAAATTCATTGAGTAAATTGCGAAACACGTTATGGGATAAAGCATGCAACAGACAGATGAAGTAAATTGAGCAAGAGCAAATTACTAATGCAATACAGTATGTGACAGACAGACGAAGATCATTGAGCAAGTACAAATGACTAAATAAAGTATGTGACAGACAAGCGAAGATCATGGAGCAAGTGCGAAACAAATTATGCGGCGAAGTATGCAACAAACATGCAAAGTTAATTGAGAAAGAACGAATTACATATGCGATAAACTATGCGATAGGCAGATGAAATTCATTGAGCAAGTGCGAAATAAATTGTGCGATAAAGCATGCAACAGACAGGCGAAGTTAATTGAGCAAGTGTGAATTACTTATGCGATAAACTATGCAACATATAGACAAAGATAATCGAGCTAGTGCAATATCATTATGTCATAAACTACGCCACAGACAGGCAAAGATAATTGACAATGTGTGAAACATATTATGTGGTATAGTGCGAAACACATTATGTGATAAACTATGAGACAAACAAGAGAAATTTTACTCAATGTTTTCCGACGCGTATGTTTTGCATAGTTATTATTTAATACAAAAAAAAAAAAAATAGGAGTGGAAACATTTCAGATACACTACGACAGACTGCAAAGAAAATACGAATATCGAATCGCGAAATCATTATATTTATTTCTATACTAAAAATGCATCAAACTGTGATTTGCATAACCATTTATTTATTTTTCTATTTAAATGTGCAATAATTAGGCTAAATAGTTATGCAAATGAAAAGTGCATAATAATTTTTAAAAAATTCATGTTGTTTGAGTAAACTAATAAAATTAAATATGCAGTTGCCCTAAAATAAATAAAAAAAAATGATATTGACAATAATTATTTATATATCATAATATTTAAAATATTACATATTAAAAAAATATTACATATTAAAAGAAAACTAAGTCATAAAATCTCGAGGACCAGCATAAGCTAGTCGATCTCTCACAGAAGGAACAACATTGTCATCCAAAAAAACAACTTCAAACATGTTGACGTTGACTTTTTTTAAGATAATGGTATCCCCTTGTTCCCTGCTATTATCATGGAGGAAAGTATATCATCCCCTCTCAAAAATAACGTTTTCCAGGCTGAGACCAGCGATGGCTCTCCAGATCCTACCCCAATAGTTTTCGAACTGACACTCTGTTATTTTCTTCGGTCGAAAATATTCATCGTCATTCTGAGGTAGAACCTGTACTGATTGAATTTAACTTTGTGTAAGAATTTATTTTAACTATGCTTCTGATTTAACTATGTGTAGAACTTGCACTAATTGAATTTAACTTTGTGTAAAAATTTAACCATGCGTCTGATTTAGATAAAGTTAACATATATACGACAAAATCTCGCATAATTGTTAATTTTACGGTTCGTTTGGGTATGCAATTTTATATCGCATATAATTTCGTAAATATTAAGATGAAAAAAAAGTTTTTTTACGAAATAGTGTGTAAAAGAAAGTTCATATTTATATTAGACTGTAAAAAAATCGTCCTTTTTAGTGTATTGTTTTAATTTATCTATAAAAACACTGTTTCAATGGGATGACTTCGCACTTTTGTGTTTTCATATTAATTATTAAATGCTACTTTTTTTCTTGTGTTTTCTTGTTCCCACGGTAAATGCTGCAAAATCTTTTGTAAATATGGACAAGTCAAACACCCTTTAATTTGACAAAAGTTAGCGTACAAAATCTGGCAAAAAGTGCAAGTTCACACTAAGTGCAACACAAACTCTACAAATTGCCCAAAATATTTATTTTGCAATCAAAATTTAAGCCTACCTTCTATCTCACCTTATGTGAAAAAATCCTTGTTTAATGATTCGACAAATATATTATTTCATCATATATAAATGTTTTTTTCACACTCAAATGTCGTATTTTAAATTATAATATAAACAAAATATAATATTTAATTATATACTATATTTTTTTGTGATAAAGTACAAGTTAAGACAACCTAACAGAGTATTCGTGTATGTAAAAAACGTGTGTATTCGTTTTAGTGTCCAGAAGTTGACCCCAAAAAATTAAATGAAATTTGAATGGCAAATATAATTATGAAAATCGAGAGATAACATAACTTCACAATAATCCACAACAAAAGATAATTAGTCTTTTAATCATCTCTCTTTCTCTCTCCAAACAACCAAATAGCAACAAGTGGGAAGAGGGTGTGCGTGTGATGTGAGATCACCCCCAACAAGTAAACTGAACTTCAACAAACAGAAAAAATCACACACAAAAGACCAGTCCAAAAA